TGAAGGACAGGAGCTGTCAGGACAGGCTCTGTGAGGAATGAACCACTCCTCTGGGCTCATAAAGGGGTTTCAGTCTGTGTCTGGGCTCCAGGTATAAGGAGAGGAGGGAGTGAGAGAGTGAGCGTGAGAGTGAGAGCTGGGAAAGACTGAAGACGACACAGAATGGGAGGCACTGAGGGGCTTCACAGGTTCTGGACAGGTGGACTGTGTGGGAGAATCAGATGAGAGAAGACAGTTTTGGCAGCACAGACTGAGTCTAAAGTACTGCCTGTACCTTAAGATCTCCACATAGATATGAGGACTGAGAAAGCTACTTCTGTATCAGGGACACACCAGAAAGACATATTGGGACCAAACAGGATCAGTCTGGAGAGTGAAGAGTCAGAATGAGGAAGAGTTTTAGAGTGGCAGAGAAGTGCAGGTCAGAGAAGAGTCTAGCTGAAGAGAGACAATGAGGAAGAGGAAGAGAGGATTGGGTGACATGGAGTGAGTCAGAGTGAATATGACTCTCCAGTGCCAGGCAGTGAAGAGTTAGTGAGAAGAGTGAGTGTGAAGAGCAACAGGAGCTGATTCTGTATCAATGTCAATGGACATGAGAGATAAGACCAGGGAGGACCTGCAGACAGGAAGTGTCTGTTCACAGCGGAAGAACGTGGCTCTGTATTCGAGTGCAGACAGGCCCTGAAGACACTGAAAGTCAAGGTGTTGCTGCAGTGTGGGGTGAAAGTGGAGATGTGGGAAGGAAGGGCTGTGGTTGTCACTCTCAGACTGAACCAATCGCTGTCAAGTCATTATGTCAGACAGCTGAGAAGATGGGCTGGAAGGAACAGAGATAATTCCTCCTTTGACAGAACAAGAGACTGTTGCTGCCCTAGTAATGACTATAAAGGGACTGAATATAGGTTTAAGAAAGGGACTTCTTTTATAATTGTGGAAAAACTAATTTCCTTTTTGAGATACCTATCATGCTAAGGGAGTCCATAATCAATATCAGACCATGATCTGGGGAGACCAGGAGTCACAACACCTCATCAATATTGATGGGTGTCTAAGTGTGGAGATCAGGACAGGACTGTCCAATCCTAATGAACTCAACAAGCAAACAACCCTGAAAACATCACATTCTCATTCAATACAGTACTTACTGGGTATGTGGAGCTGAGATTCCCCGTCTGCCTTGGACTGTGTGCTTCTGACCAGACAGGAGAAGATGTTGGACTCCTGCTGGACTGGGATGTAGCTGTTGACACTGAGGAGCCCCTGACTGTCCTTCCCCACTGTGCTGCTGGACAGTGAGGTCACATCATGTCCATCCCTGTCTGTCCAGATCACTGCAGGTGCAGGGAACCAGCCCTCAGACCTGCACAGCAGCTGGGTCTGACCTCCTCCAGGGGAGTGGAGAGACACTGAAACATCTGCCAATAAAGAAAACATCCTAATTGCCAGAACCTCAGAATTGTTTCTGAGAAGTGACAGTGTCTGAAGTCTTGTCACTGATGAGCATCAAGGAGAGACACACTTCTCCTCCAATCACTGCAGACTCTCCTGTTAGTCACTATAGAGCTCACAGTGCAGTGTGTTCAATCCCTTAATTGAACAATTGACTGTGTGGATTCCAAGAAAAGCTCACTGAACTACAGAAGTCCTGCAATCCGTCCATCTACAGCTCACAGTCTCAGTGTTAAGCACATCTCCCTGAATCTGGCAGCTGATAACTGATCAATGTGGACCTGTTGGCTACTAAATGACATTTCATTGGCTCATAATAAACATCCTTCTGTAACTTTGCCACCTTTGGTAATGGCTAAAAAATAACTGTATTGTATTATTTATAGGATGCATATAATTTAAAACAATATAATAACAAAAGAACACTCACCTCTAACAGCCAGGGAAATTAGAGTGTCTTCATAATGATCCACAGACTCCACTAAACACTTGTACTGTCCATGATCTGAGAGACGCACGTCCGTGAGCTTGAGAGACACGTTGCCTCTGGGGAGCTCCTGCAGGAACAGCTCAGCTCTGTCCCTGTAGGCTGGGTTCTGTATCTTAGTGTTATAATTGAGGTTTTGATACAAACGCACGGGGGAATTATAATCCCCTCGAAACCACCTGATCTCCAGGTCCACAGCACTGATGCTGGGTGAGAGGTAACAGGGCAGGACAGCATCTTCACCAGGGGACACAACAACAGGAGCAGCTGGACCATGAACCTGGAAACTCTCTGAAAGAAAGAGCACACAGCTGTCATGAGTCTTCAGCCTCCACACAGACAAACTGTACCCTCTTCTAGAGGAATGATCACACTGAAACAGATCACACACAGGGGTGTAGTCACTGATCATGGTGCTGGAGCCCTGACCACTGTTATCTCACATGACACCACCATGAGGGCAAAGGTCACAGATCCTTACTTTAATTTCTGTCCGTCTAGTTTAATTAGACTGTATTTAAGATTATTTTCTATTGGTACTGGACTACTTTAACCAAAGCAAACTTAATCTATGCAGGATAATATTGTAAGGTTAGACAAACCAGAACACATATTTAAAGGGAAAAGCTTCAGCTTTCAATAAAATAAACAGTAAAGTAAACATATACACGTCTTTTAGGCATTACAGAATAGCTGCCCCATAACCCTTATTTTACCCATGATGTTTTAGCTGGAAGACTGATCCACAATCACCTGGTTCAGATTATGTTTTATGCAGCACTGTGAAACTACAACACAAAGGAGTGATCTTACAGCCACTGGTGTGTGTATGTTGTGTTATTCTGTCAGTGACATTCCAGAGGTTTAACTGTACACAGTGACTGTTTAGCTGTGACACAGGGAAAGAAAAATCACATTAATCCAGGTGAAACGCCGCTGGTCACTGGAAATGGGCGATAAAGAAGGTGAAACCAAAATCACCTCTGTCTCGTCTGTGAGAATGCAGCTGATGCTCGTGAGCTCGCAGGTGTATCAGCAGCTCACTGGAGTATTTGGGTGTTCGAGTCAGAACCACGCTAACAGCAATACAGCTGAAGCACAGCTCTTTCCTTATCAAAACAAGACATTGAGACCAGGTATTTACGCTCCGAACAAGATCTTTACCGAGCAACCCCCTGTGTTTCATAGACACAGTGAAAATAACACCCCATTAGATCACAATGCTTTATAAATATTTGGATTTTTCTAGTGATATAGAACACATTAATCATGTCCCAAAGTAAATTGTTTGAAAAGATATTTAGATCTCTCCATCCATTTCTAAACTCGTGAGTTACCATAAGTTACTGTTCCTGTTCAGTGTGGAAAAGTCACCAGACTGAAGGTCTAATAAAATTCAGGAATTTCTGCTCATTGTACCTGATTTTGACACAGACGACTGGAGGAGAAGCAGAAGAGTCACACAGAGACACTCTGATTGGTCAGACTTCATTTCTGAAATAAGAAACCGCACTGATAAGTCAGACACCATAAACCTTAACAAAAAAATACATTTTGAATGGATACATTACCCTTGAACCAAAAAGATTTTTCTTTTGACAAATTTTTAATTTGACAGAAACAGACACTCAAAGTGAAAGATCCAGCTGTTGTACCACAGTGAGGTGTTTCTCTCAGCTTCAGTCCTGACTGACTGATCACTCACACACTGCTGTATCTGACTGATCTCAGTCACTCCAGCACACAGCAGCTTCAGTCCTGACTGATCACTCACACACTGCTGTGTCTGACTGATCTCAGTCACTCCAGCA